AAGGGATGGCTGTCACTCAGCCTGACGGACAGCCCGGAGATTTGCCTTCAGATAAAACCTTACAGATGTGGAGGTCGGTATTGATTTTGAGTTAGTAACGGTAACGTACCAAGAAGTAATACATTAGCGAAAGCAAGGTCACCGGGAAAAAAGTAAAACCCACCGGGGGAGAGGCCTTAGCATTCTTGAGGGGGGTGAATTACTGCCTCAGACTGGGACTTCCTCAAGTTCAAAAGTTTGCAGGCCCCAGACTTCGGCTGGGCCCCTAACCCTGGGCAAAGCTTCCTGCTTCTGCGGGCGAAGAGGGGCTCCCAGGGGTCCAGGGGCCAACCGGCAGCCGCGGAGGGCCGCTTAGGTCCACAGCACTCCCCACCGCAGAGTTGTCAAGGGCCTCTCTCCCCACAGTCTCTGGCACAGCCTGGTGAGAAGCAGCCCAGCTCCCGGTCAGGGAGACGCAGGTTCAAATCCCAACCCTGCCGCTTCCAGGCTGTGTGATCTCGGGTGTGCCTTTCCTCTTCTCTGAGCCTCAGTTTCCCCATCTGCATAATCTAGGTAATAATAGCCTGTTTGCTCAAGGAATCAATGCTCCCACGCCTCTTCAATTGGGTCCTGTCCCATTTGCTTGGAAACTGCTATGCCTGGAGACAGGGGGTTGGATGAAATGGCAGCCCCTTTGATCCACAGGCCACCAGGGACTCTGGGAGAGAGTAAGCAGCCTCCTCGCATCCCCATTCACACCTATCCCAGATGTGGATTTGATTTGATGTTCCAGGGCAAATCCCATTGAACAAATCCCATTACAGGAAAATCTCCCCAGGCCTGAGCTGATTCTGAGAACTCCCGAGCCGCTGGGCACCACACAAGCCCCTTCTGACAAACTCTAGGAAGCCTTGCAGCTCTCAGGATTTTCACTCTCCACATTGACTTTCTTGCTATTTCTAAAACCTGCTGGGTGTGTTCCCACCCCAGGGCCTTTGCACTTGCTGACTCCTCTGCCCGCAAAGCTCTTCTGCTACATCCTCCCATAGCTGGCTTTTTTGGGTCTTGCTGGATATCACCTCTTGGGGAACTCTTGCCTGACTACTGCACTTGTCCCCTTTGTTTATCCTCTATAAACACTTCCCGGTATCAGAAACTATATTATGTATTTGTTGGTTTATTGTCAGCCTCCTTCATGAGAAGCTGGCTCCAGGAGGGCATGGAGGGCTGGTGCTCACTGCTGCGTCCTCCATGCCCAGCTCAGTGTCTGGCACATAATAGGTGCTCACTTAAGATTTGTTAAGTGATATCCATGAATTCAGCCGGGTTTTTCTGGGCTCATAGTATGTAGCAGGCACAATTTCGGTGCTGGGGCAGCGAGGGTAGGTGAGACCCAGTCCTGTCCTGCCCTCAAAGAGCTCATGGGCCAGCCCTCTCTGCAGCCTGGCACTGGTAGCACTCTATGAAATGTTTGTTGAATGAATAAATGAACGAATGACAGATGTCTTTGGGAAACACCATATCATGCGGTCTAGCTGGGACACAAAGTGTAAGGCAGGAAGAAGGGGAGGGGTTGGCACAGGTAGGTAGCGGTCTGATCACTAGAAGATTTTGTTCTGTTTATCGGGGAGGTAATGAGGAGCCACTGATAATTCTTTTTTTTTTTTTTTAAGATTTTATTTATTTATTTATTTGAGAGCGAGAATGAGAGCCAGAGAGGAGAGAGCAGAAGCTGGGGGAGCAACAGGGAGAGAGAGAAGGACCTTGGGATCATGACCTGAGCCAAAGGCAGATGCTTAATGACTGAGCCACCAAGTGCCCCGCCACTGATAATTCTTGAGTGCTGTGGTCAGATTTGTGGCAGTTCTCTGTGGGTCTCTGTCCTGCAGGATGAGTACTGTCTGTACATGGCTCCCAGCCCATCCCAAAACATGCTTCTCCTCTCCCGAACCCCTCCCTTCCCATTCCATTGTCTCTTCTGAGCTTGGCGTCTTGGCCGTGTGCAGGAGGGAAGGATTAAACTGGGGTCTCACCAGAGCTGACAGACCCTCCCGAGAGTCTCCCCATGCCCATAATTATCCTCCTGAAGGAAGGGACATGGGGCCTGTGTGTTTTCCCTAAGCCTCTGAGTCTATTCTTGGAGTCCAGGCCTCCTTCGAGGGGAGAATAGGGTTAATGTTTATATGGGGGGGGGGTTGGGATTGGCGGTGATTTTTTTTTTTAAAGATTTTATTTATTTATTTGACAGAGACACAGCGAGAGAGGGAACACAAGCAGGGGGAGTGGGAGAGGGAGAAGCAGGCTTCTCGCTGAGCAGGGAGCCTGACGCAGGGCTCGATCCCAGGACCCTGGGACCATGACCTGAGCTGAAGGCAGACGCTTAACAACTGAGCCACCCAGGCGCCCCGGTGATTTTCTTAATTTAGATGGAAAGTGGAGTCTAGATTGGGCACCTGACAGGCAACATGGAAGAGAATCAGGTCCCCTAACCCTCTGGCAAGTGCTAGATTCCTTAGTTCCCCCTAAGATCCCACCCAAACATACACCAAATTTCCTAGGCCCTGGAGAACCCATCTCCACAGTCAGAAAGCAACAAACACTGCCCAACGGTGTCAGGCATCCTCACACAACACCCCCTTCATGGGGTCCCTCTTGCCACCACCCCTGTACCCCTACATGGACCCTCCCATGTAGGAGATTCCACAGGTCAGGCCACTGCCCAGAGTAGCCGGACACCTGCCCAGACTCTCCCCTTCTCACACACCCATCCCCTCGGGTCTTTGCCTTGTGGACAGGGCTGATACCCTGTCAAGTCCCACCTAAGCCCTACCAGCTGCAGTGGAGGCAAAGACCAGCCCCCCAGGCCCAGTGCCCTTGACTCTGGCTCTGGGGGGAGGGGGAGTGCAAGGACCCAGGAGGGTGACCCCAGAGTGAGGGGATTCTGTTGGGAGCATCCAGGGGAGGGTCAGGGAGAGGTTGTGCTCATGCCCCAGCCACGAGGGGCCCCAACCTCAATCACCCCCAGCCAGCGGCTGCCCAGAGTACAGGCTGCTGCTGGCCCCTGGGCTGAGGACCTCTGAAGGGCTCAGATGCCCAAACTCATCCTTGAGAGTCAGTCCTGACCCTATCAGGCGAGTGGGCTCAGGCCTCTGGACCCCGAGCTGCTCCCCACAGACTTGCGGTGACGTCTGGAGAAGACACAGCCTTTTGAAGGCCTCTGTTCCTTCATCTGAGGAAGGGGCATCATGGCTCAGCCTCACGCACCTCTGTAGGGCTCTGGATTGGGCGAGCCATGTGAGTTCATGCCAAGATGAAGGAAAGGAAGGGGGAAGGGAAGAGGAGCCCTCGGGGAGCTGGGGCCCTGTTCCCGGGAGCGCTGGCCAGGCGTAAAGCCCTCTGCATGCAGACCCCACCTCATCCCCCCAGCCACCCTCTGAGTTAGGGACAGTCGTCATGTCTCTTCCTCAAGACTGTGGGCAGTCACAGGTGCTAAGGCACATCTGAAGCTGTAAGTGGAGAAGCCCAGGGGCTGTCCCTGGCCTGAGGATTCCACATCCATGCCCTCCACCCCCGCCCTGCCTCAGTGCCTATGGTAGGGACAAGTCACAGAGGAGAAGGTAGAAGTTTCCAGAAGGTATCCAGTCGGCAGCAAGATTGCTTCTAGCAATGCCCCTAGTCTGCCTTCTCCCGAGAGGTAAGTGGGGAAATCAGAGAACACAGCCGTGTGCCCAGCACGGACCACAGCCTGCTTCTTCAGCTTGCTGCTGGGCAGGTTAGCAGCTCGGCTTCCCACCTGGCACCGAAGCCTCCCTCCCACAGGGGGTGTGGCATCACCAAGAGGTCACCAGGGTCCTGGGCCCTGCAGGTCGGCTGCACAAGGGCCTGCCTCTCCATTGTCTCCTGGGACTGGCCAGGACACCCGTGCTCCCACACGGAGAGACACCTGCTGCCTGCACCACCTTTCCCCACTCTCTGTCCTGGAGAGCTGGACAGCAGGTGTCACCTCCTCCAGAAGCCTGCCTGGACCACTAGACTGGCTGAGTTCCCTTCCCACAGCCCCCCTAAGCGGCTTCTGTCATGCCCCTCACCACTTCATATCTTGGTGGTCTGCTCCCGGTTGCCTCCCCCTCCTGACGCAGACATCCCCCCTGCCGAGGGCAGGGACCATGGTTCTTCCTCCTCTGAAGAGCCAGGGCCCTGCCTGAGGCCTGGGGCTGCAGTCACCATCAATGCATGTTTGTTGAATGAATAAGTGAACACATCAGTGAACAAACACCAGGTTCTTTAAGCTGAGTATCTAGAGATGAGCCTCACCCTGCCAGTCTGAGGTCGCCAGCACTGGTGGTGAGTTCCTGTTTGTTGTCCCGGCCAAGCAGGGAAGGGGTGATGATCACAGACATCTGAGAGCTACCAGAGTCAAGGAAGGGTACCCACGAGGCTCTTTGAAAGCGTTGGCCATGGATGTTGGCATTGTAGGAGCAGGATCTCAAAGTCAAGAGCAGAGCAGGCTTACCACAGGACCAGGGGTGAAGCCAGACTAGATCCAGAGTCCTGTTCTAATTCTGTGTTGGAAGATGGGGGCATCCGAGTCTGACAGGGGAGGCTCGGCTTCCTGTCCCGGAGGAGCCCCTGTCTGATGGGAGAGACATCATCAACTAGTTCGTTCGTTCATGCATTCATTCATTCATCAGACAGACACCAGATGTCCCTTAGAACCAGGCCTGGGGATATCCAAGAGGGGAATGAGGCCCTGCCCTGCCCCCTGGAGCTCTCGGCAAGGGGTGATTCCATGGGTCAGGACCTAACCAGGAGAAACCACTAACTGTCTTACCCATAAGGGCAAGCAAACCAGGTAAACTGAGGCTCTTGGGGCTGTGCAGGGATCTCAAGGGAGCAACCCCAGCCAAGGCCTGTTTGGGGCCAGCCTGGCATCGTCCCCCCACACACCGTGTCTGTGGGGCCCGTCCTCCAAGCCCCCCACACCCACTGCTCGGGCCGCACTGACCATCTCTCCCCCGCAGGTGATGAGCATTCTGAGCAACCCCAGCGCTGTACCGCCGCAGCCTCAGGCCGACTTCTCCATCTCCCCACTGCACGGCGGGCTGGACTCGGCCACCTCCATCTCGGCCAGCTGCAGCCAGCGGGCCGACTCCATCAAGCCGGGAGACAGCCTGCCCACCTCCCAGTCCTACTGCCCGCCCACCTACAGCACCACCGGCTACAGCGTGGACCCCGTGGCTGGCTACCAGTACGGCCAATACAGCCAGAGTGAGTGCCTGGCGCCCCAGGCGTCCCCCTCCCCCTCCCTGCCCCACTCCGAGGACCGTCTACTTATTTGTAGAGCGCTGCGAGGCGGTGTTGGGGTGGGGGTGCCCATTTCACAGATGAGAAAATTGAGGCCCGGCAAGAATGGACTGTTGTCCTAAGCTGATACTGAGCCCGGCCCCTGCACTCCCCCTACTGTGGCCTTAGAGCAGTGCTGTCCCAGAGAACCGTACCAGGAGCCAAGAATGGCGTTTAAAAAATGTCCTAGTAGCCACAGCTTAAAATGTTAAGAAGAAACAAGTGGAATGACTTTCGCTAACGTATTTTGTTTGACCCGGTATATCTGAAACGATGATCATTTTGACATGTCATCCATACAGAGTTATGAGTGAGCTATTTTGCATTTCTTTTTTTCATGCGGTGTCTTTGAAATCCAGTCCGTTTTAATTCAGACACTGTTTTCATTGGAACTACTCGATCTGTATTTAAATTTCATAAAATTACAACTGAGAAGTGGATTTACACACCCAAGTTGTTCAAATATACTGTAAAGTTTCCCAACCACTACGCTAAATCGAATTTCAGTTTTCACATTTAAATTAGATAAAATTAAATTAAAATGTAAAATCCGGTTTCTCGGCGGCGTGGCCACGTTTCAGGGGCTCAGTGGCCACGTGTGGCTGGCGGCCGCCATGTTGGATGGTGTGGTGCTAGAGACCCTGCCCCTTTCTGCCCCCTGGGTGTGGGCGACAGCTGGGTTTTCGTCTCTGTCCTGTATCCCAGCCCCAACCATCCTCAGCCCTGTTTGCCCCAAACTTTGAGCTGGTCTCTTGGGCCCTCCCCAGCCCCCATCCCCCTGGCACCTTGCTTAGATGCAGGGGTGGGGTGGAGGGGGGAAGCTGACCCTCGGACCAGAGGCTGCAAAAGGCAGGCCCGGCCACAGCCTCCGGCTGCCAGATGGGGCAGCGTCAGGGCAGGCCATGAGGCACCGAGAGCCGAGGTCACCGGGCTCCCCTCCTGCCCCCCTCCCGGCAAAGGCCTCACCTGCTGGTGTCAAACTAATCAGAAGGGCGTGCGGGGCGAGGCTTAGGTCCCAGCCCGAGGGCGTCCTCTGCCCCCCCCCCCCCCGCCCAGCCCAGCCTCACTGACCTCTGCTTCCTGCCCCCACACCAGCCGCTCCTGCTTGCTCAGCCTTGGCCTCCACAGCTAAATGAGGGCCAGCTGTGCTGCCCTCCACCTCTGAGCTGTGTTCACGGCCCCCACCCCATGGATGTGTGTGTGTGCGTGTGTGAGAATACGTGTGTCACGGATACGTATGATTCGTGTGTCTGTGTATATTGTGTCGTTCAGCACACGTGTTTGCGTGTGCATCCTTGTGTGTAGGTGTGTGTTTGTATGTGTGAATGTGAGTGGTACACGTATGTGTACACCTGGCTATTCACATAGCTGAGTTTAAATGAACCTGTTGCGGCCACATGATACGCACGTGAGTCTGTATGTGAACACACAAGTGCTCACGTTTGGTCCCGTGAGTCTATGAGTCTGTCACACATACACATGTGTGTTTCAGTGTACATTCAGGTGTGTACATGTGGCTGGCTGTCTCCGTGTGTGCCTGCATGTGTGACATGTGATCGGCAGATGTCACTCTGTGGGCATGTGTAACAAACGTATGCGTGTGTGCAGATGTGTGTAAGTGTGTGCAGATATGCGTGGCTCTATGTATACATGTGCATTCCGGCGTGCACAGATGCTTGTATGTGTCTGTGGGTGCATAGATGTTCTGTACGGGCATGCACGCTACACATGCGGTGCGTAAATCTGGGTGCGTGGGAGCTACGGTGCGCACGTAGGCGAGGCTGCATGTACCTGTGTTTAGCTGTGCGTCGGGCCGTGGACACATGGTGTTGCCTGTGCGTGTAACTGCGTGGAGTTGCCATGGGAGGAGCACGTGTGTGAGGGGGTAGAGCACGTGTGTGCAGGTAGGGTTGAGAGCTGGGCTCGCACATGTGCACGCGAGTGTTTCCAGAGGGGCCCAGGGCAATCCCCGGCCCCAGCCCCCGTTCCCGGGCAGATCGAGCGGGACACACATGCTCTTGATAAAGAGTTGAGAGCAGCTCCGCGGAGGCAGCAGCCCTGGCCTGGGGCGGGCGTTAGTCACACCCGGAGCCCCGCGCCCTACTCCAGGGGTGCCTGCCCAAGTCGGAAATAAAATTAACCCCAAAGTCAGCATGGGCGCTGCAAGGGAGGGGGGATCAAAAGGGAAAGGGCCCAGGAGGCGAGAAAGGAGTGTTTGTTCCTCCTTCGCTAGGGGAGAAGCTCTTCGGAGCCATTTCCCCTCCCCCTCCCTCTCTCCTTTCCGTTCCCCCTACTCTCCCCCTCTAGCTCCAGCCCTGTTCCCCTGGCTCCTCCAGGGGTGGCTCAGAGCTCCTCTTGAGCCATATTCTCCAGCCCTATCCAGAGGGAATCCCGGGGCAGACCCTACCCCACCCCCACAAAGGCTCCAGGCTTCGGCTGGGAGGGGCCCAAGGGAGAGCTGGCCCCACTACCACTGATTCTGCCGCCAGGTCACCCTGCCTCTGAGACTCAGTTTTGCCATCTGGGAAATGGGAGTCCAGGGATTAGACGCCCAGAGTTTTTCCATTGTGCCATCTTCCTCACCTTTGACATTCCAGGACAGTCAGGGACAGGGACACATCATGTTGCCGCTGACCACCTGCCCCATGTTCATGGGACACTGAATACACCTATGACTGAGCTCCCAGTCCATGTGCAAGAGTGCACATCCCAGACAGCCCCTGTGCATGCCTAGGTCCACCCATCACCTGCTCCCTTCTGTCCCGTGCATGAGTCTAGCCCAGGCATGTGGCAAATTGCATGTTCCTCATTTCATGCCATCCTCAAAACCCCACCCAAAGTAGATTTTATTTTTCCTCAGCTTACAGATGCAAGAGCTAAGGCTCTAGAGACTTTCCCAAGGCCACATAGGTGAATGGTGGACCTTAGGTCCCCTAACTTCCAGCCTCGTTCTCTTTTGGCCAGACCACAAACTCGTGTAAGACACTCAGTAACAATACACACCTTGGCCCACCTCTGTGTGGATTCCCGTCCGTGACTTCACAGGCACTTACGTGTGAAGAGCTGCACACACACCAGTTTATTTCTGAGGGTTTACTAATGTGTGTCTGTACACATGGCTTCGAGGTTTATTGAGCATCTACTGTGCGCCTGGCACTCATGGCTGCCCTGTGTGGTGTATGACAAGGAAGTGGATCCCAGAAAGGCTATTTGCCCGAGAGCCCGTATCCATGTGAACACAGCCATGCCTACAGCCCTCAGAGAGGCTCCCTTGTGGGCGGGCGTGGAGTGTGCCCGTGGCCAGGAGTGTGCCCGTGGCCAGACTCCGTAGCAGGAGAGTCCACTCCTCTTCCCGGGCCCCTTGTCTTCCCAGGGACACCTCCACACCTTCTCTTCTGTTCCCGGCCATCATCTGTCCATCTGTCTGTCTCTCCTGTCCCTGAAGGGGGTGGGGGCAGGGGGCAGGGATGGGGCACATGGCAGATTAATATGGCCCTGGTGTTCCCAGAGGCCAGGGCCGTACTAATGATGGGGCTGATAGAACGCAGAAGTGTGAAAAGAATTTTAATAGATCTGACAAGTCTAATAAGAATTTGTGTCTAGAAGGGTCCTCCTCTGGGGCCGCGGGCTGACGAGGCGCTGACGGCTGAGATTTGTTTACTGGTTGGCATCTCCTGCCAACTCCCGATTAATCTAATTTGAGACATTTAGAGCCCAGGCGCGGGCACAAGGCAGAGGAGAGGGGACACAGAGAGACAGAGGGACAGGGAGGGCCACTGACAGAGGCCGTAATGAGATATGTCACAGCCCTGCCCTCGCCGGCCCCTGGCTCGACCCCAGGGAGAGGCAGGCTCTGCGACACAAGGGGTGCCCTTGAAGTTGGCTGCTCATCAGTAAAGTTGGGCTTCTTGGTGTCTCCTTGCCCACCTTGACAGGGCGTGGGTCCTACTGTGCACTCAGCCCGGGCTGGCAGCCGGGAGAGGCTAAAAAGGACGACATGGAGTGACCACAGGCACAAGCAGCACAATCTTGCTGTGCCTCAGTTTCCACCTTTGTAAAACGGGAACAGCTGTACCGTTGTTGAGATTGCTGGGATTGATGAGAGGTGAAATGAGATTGTGCCCACGCAGCCCACAGGGAGCACACGACAGGCAGCGGATCAGGCTTTGTCGTTCTGATTGCTGTTCGGAGCCAGACCTTTCCAATCCCCCCCCCCAGGGAGCGCTGCAGAGGCGGGCACAGAGTCGGGCATGAGGTAGAATCAGGGGGAGTAGGCAGAGCCTTCGGTGAGTCAGGAAAGGTCACCTGGCTTGGCCATGTGCCCTTGGACAAGTCACTTACATTTCCTGGAGGAGAAAAATGGGGCCAATGCAGGATTTGGGGTGTAGAGTGTTTCCTAGCCTCTGAAGTGCTGTGCACACACCAGGGGTTATTCTGTAGGAGGCTGTGGGTGAAGGGCATGGGGGTGGTTAGGAGTTGGCATCAAACTGCCTGGCCTTGAATCCTGGCTCCACAACCTGAGAGCCATGTGACCTTTCAAGTTACACAGTGTCTTAGGGCAGGGTCTCAGCTGCATCCCCTGTAAAATGGGGTCATGGAACTGAGATAGTGCATGGAAGGGCTTAGACCAGGATCCCCCTCTCTTTCTGCTGCTACTCTGCAGATTAGCTTCCTCGAGGTGAGGTCGAGGTTGAGGTCGCCCGGGACTCAGATAAATAAGACCTGCTCCAAGTAGCAGAGATGAGATGCCTGAGTTGCAGGCTCCCCCTGAGGCCAGAGATCAGAGCTTCTCACGCTTCCACCCGGAGCGAGGGGCAGCCCCAAGGCAGGGCAAGGCTGGCCACCACCACCTCTGTGCTACCAGCTGGGAGTCTGGAGGCTGGGTGACCTCAGGGGCAGCACTCAGGGGCTCAGCTCTGGCCCTAGAGCCTGGGAAGCTGAGGAACACGGGGCCCAGCCAGGCACTCCTAAAGCCCCAGGACATTTGCATATCCTTTGCGAATCTAGGTGCAATTGCTGAGCCCTCTATGCCCAGCATCTTAAAGCGCATCATCTCATTTGACCTCATAAGAGCCCTTGAGGAGGCTGGGATTTGTTCTACCCATTTTACAGACAAGGAAATGGGTCTGGAGAAGCAACGTGATTTGCCCAAAGCCGCATGAACAGGACATAGGTGGGACTCTTGAGTTGCTCCATTTGCTGTTCCTTTCCTTCCTGCCTCCATCAAAGGTCACATCTGCTCACTGAATCCCAATCGTACGAGAGCCCAAGGCCATTGAGCTCACCGGGTACCAAGCGCAATGCTGACTAACCTCTTCATCTGCATTTGCTCACCTCATCCCCGTAATTCATTGACCTAGGTGCTGTCAGCATCCCCACTCTACAGACAAGGAAACTGAGGCTTGTATAAGTGAGCTGGTGTGGCCCAAATCACACAGTAAAAGTTGGCGGGTGCAGGATTTGAAACCCTAGGGAATATGGCCTCAATTCCTGGTACTGACCATCTCACCCTCCTGAGCCTTGCCCACTGGCTGTGCCCACACCTCCTGGCTCTACCCACAGGGTCCCTTGGTGGGCCGGTGACAGGGAGAGTATTGGGCCAGGCCTCGTGATTCCAAGGTAGCGTTCATTACATTTCTTCTCACCTCTGGATCCGAGAGGCCCCAGGGGTTGAAATGGCCACAGCCACGGATTCCATCTTGGGAGGAGGCATCTCTACCTCAAGAGGCCTTGGTCACATGTCAGCCAAATCACTTGGTCAGGGCTGATTTCTGCTGTAGCCTCAGGCAGGTGCAGTTCATACAATCAAGACAGAATACATGCACACGCAGACCTAGCAGTCACACCTGTAAACACACACGCACACACATACACGCACACAGGTACCTGGCTTAGGGGCAACTCACCTGTACGCACTTACCTGTACATGCACAGGCATCCCCACGTTCTACTCACACAGGTGTGCACAGCTCACCCGCATCTATCCACATGTACATGTGTGAACATTGATCATATGTGAACATTCATGTTAGTGCCCATTACTACACAGAGATTTTTGTTTCCACTGTTCACGCATACACACAAGTACACACCCTCAGACTCTCATCTCCCTCCTCTGGATGGCCAGAACTTCAAGACTAAAGGTCTCAGCTCCCTGCATATCAGGGTCTTGGCTCCTCCTTCTGCGTCGACCCCCTTGGCTCAACTGCAAAAGCTGCTTTGCTTTTGAGTAAGGGATATTGCTTTGCCTCATCCATGAGCTGGCTCAGGGTCCAGAGAAGGCAGTAGGACCTTGCCCTCATTACTACCTGGGCTCTGTGGGATGCACTGGACATTCCCCATAGCAGACATACATACAGGTGTGTTGGAACTAATTCTTCACTCAGCAATGTGGATATCCTCTGTACCTTCTTACAGAACCTACAAGAGAGCTGGGCAAATAATAAGTGTTAAGTAAATATTTGCTCAGTGGTTAGAGAGGAGGTAAGAGAAAGAGCTTCATGAAGAGATGGATGGATGGATGGATGGATGGATGGATGGATGGATGGTTGGATGGATGGTTGGATGGATGGTTGGATGGATGGAAGAACAAGCAGACAGGTGGACAGAAGGGTGAATGGATGAATCAATGAATGAATAAATGTATGTATGGATGGATGGAAAGATGGATGGATGGGTGGATGGATGGATGGATGGATGGTTGGATGGATGGATGGATGGATGGATGGATGGATGGATGGATGGAAGAACAAGTGGACAGGTGGACAGAAGGGTGAATGGATGAATCAATGAATGAATAAATGTATGTATGGATGGATGGGTGGATGGATGGATGCGGAGCAGATGAAAGAATAGGTAAAAAGAACGTCAATTTTTAGGAGTTTCTCTTTTTTTTCCCTCCAGCTGCTGTTGATTACCTGGCCAAAAACGTGAGCCTCTCCACACAGCGTCGTATGAAGCTCGGGGAGCATTCTGCTGTGCTGGGACTCCTGCCTGTGGAAACTGGCCAGGCCTACTAGGGCCCCTGGGGCGACTTGCCCCAGACCAAGTCCCAGCCCAACCCTTACTGATCCCTGAGCCTCCCGGCCTCAGTCCTTTCATCGCCCTAGGGTCCCAGGAGGCCAGGGAAGGAGCCCATTCCCTTCTCATAGCCAACCCTCTGGAGATGTGCAGCCAGTCTACCATTCACCTATGTTTAGGAACCCAGAGTGACCCCCTTGGAGTCTGCCCCTCCACTCTCTCCCCAGGAGGGTTTCGGGTCAGCCTGCAGTCCTCCCCCCAGTCAAACCCTGTCCTGGCCTCTGTGCTATCTCAGGCACAGAAATGGAAGCTCACCCTGAATAGAGCACCCTGGGCACCCAAAGGAGGATGGTGTCTGGAATGAGGTACTGGAGTCCTTTGGACCTGACTCCAGCGAGTACCCTGGCCAGAGGTGAGGGTGTACCTCCCAGGGTCACTCTCAGCTGGAAGTGCTGGGAGGCAGCCCTCTCAGGTGGATCTCTGGCTCAGGGCCAGAACCACAGCCCATTCCTCCTCTGGATGCTGGGACATCAGCAGAGAGGGGACCCTCGCCCTGGGGTTTTCCCAGGAGAATCACCCAGGAATTCTGAGGACTCCAGGACCCTCCCCCACACACCTCTGCTGGGTGTAGGAGAGGAATCTAGCCCAGGCCGGGGTACCAGAAAGGGCAGGAAGAGGCCTACCAGGGGGCAGGGCTCACCAGCAGTGGGCCGCCAGGGGTACAAGGACCCAACCCAGACACCCAGAGGCAGCAGGCTCCCGGACTGAAGCCCAGATTCCAACCTTGCCCACCCTGTGTGGGGCCTGGGGAGCCCACGGGCCCTTCAATTTTCTCATTCTCTGAATCAGATGGGAGGGGGAGGGGAGCAAGTCTTGTGTGAAGAGGCATAGGGCCGGCTCAGAAGGGGTCTTCATAGCTGGGGTCCCTCTGCTTGTGGGCACAGACTTTTGTCACCAAAAGGTTTCAGCGCTTGCCTTCGAGTCCACAACCCATGGAGCTGTGATTTCTCACAGAGTGTCCCTCGGAGACCTGACCCTCTGGGAAGGGGACCTCCATCTGCCCTTTAAGCTTCAGGAGTGCAGAGAGCTTCCCCTGGAGCTCTGGAGGAGGTTTCTTGGACCAGTAAGGACTGCTTACCCACAGATTCCCCTTAACATTTGGGGGGAGAGGGGGTGTGTCCCTGTCCCACTGACAGTGGCACCTTTCAGTGTGGATCCACTCTAGGCTGAGAGGGCTCTGTCTGCTCATCCAGCACAGCTAGGCGGGGGCATATGTGACCAGTCTTTAGGCCACCGCTCCTGGACAGGTGGGGGATGCCAAAGGGTTCAGAGAATAGGGGAAAGGCGCCTTCCTTGGCCATACCCATGGCTTCCTCATATCCCTTCTCTTTAAAAGTTGAGACCTTTGGGGAATTGTTCAAGCCCCTGACTATGCCTCCCTTGGGACTTTTCACCACCTTCACCTACTTATCAAAATTATATTCATCTTCACCATCACCATGATTATAATCTACACTTGGATAACCTTTATCAAGTGCTACTAGGTTAAAGGCACTTGTGACGGGAGACACAGCCCTGAATCCGCAGAGACTGGGCCAGATTGCTTGTCCCCACCTGGGTACGTGAGGCCACCTCTTTGCTCAACCCGTGCCGCTTGCTCTCAGCCAACAAGACATTCCTGGAAGGAAGGGCTGCTGCTTTATGAGTCAACCTGAGTTCCTCCCTACTGGGGAACAGGACTGGCAAGATGCTAGGACACTTTCCTGCATGGACGCCACCTCAGTGACGAATGCTCACCTGTTTCTCATCTTCAGACGTGGTAATATCAAGCCTGCCCTGGACTGTGGCCAGGGTGGCTCGTATCTCTCGTTTAGAGAAACCTATTCATACATAGGGACAAATAGACTCTCTGGTAGCAGCAGATACCTGGACATGTGTAGCCCATGGCGTTCACCCAAGCTTTCAACTGGAGCATCTACTGCAGAAGACTTTTGGTTCTTCAAGCTCTGGATGGAAAGGAAGACTGTGTCGTCTCTTGATGACCCAGTTCCTGTGTTTGTAACCATCCCAGCCAGGAAGCAGCTCTTAAGATCAACCACAGTCTTCACTGACATTCCTTGAATGGTCAGTCCTCCCCCCTGGAGGCCTGGCTCAGAAATCATCTGAGGCCCGTTACATACACACGAGCAGGGCTCTCAGGCAGATGACATCAAAACTGCCCAGCCTCACCCCCGGGAGGCGACATTCCTATGCTAGGACCAATCCCAAATATCTGCCCCCTGTGATGAAATGGGAATAAACCAAGTGACTTCTCATTATGTCCAACTTCTCTGGAGTTCTCCCAAGCCACCATCTTGGTAGTAAATGGGACTTATTCCCCCCTGGAGCCCCACCCCCCTCAAAAAGAGACCCTGACCCTGGCAGGTTTTCCCTAAAAGTTTGTGTATTAACGTGTCTAGCCAACTCTGTTCATAAAACTCAGTCTCATGCTGGCAGCTCACACCTTTACCAGAGAGATAACATGGGACAAGAGGTACAAGGCTTCAAACTCTTGAGGGTTGACCGCAGCCTGAGCAAGAAGGCCTGAATCGCAGTGGCCAGGCCAGCCCAGAAACAATCCCTATCCATTCCTGTAAATAGAATCTGTAGCAAAATAAGAGATGTTTCCTCCAACTTATCACAAGTAGCTGTTGGTCCTACCTGTGGGGGGGGGTCCGTCTTCTGAACTCATTGTACATTAGTTGGAAATGTGGTGATGTGCTGTTCGTTTATAGGAAGTTGACTTTTATATAAATATATATATATATATATACACTAAAAAAGAAAGAAAACCCCCACAGTGTGTGTCGTGCTAGTGCCAGGGACCATCTGTAGGGATATATCTGCATATTGTGTGTTTCAAAGTATACATTCCAGGCTCTGCTGGGTTCTTTCATTTTTATTGCTTTGCTTTCTCATTTGGTATTTCTCTCTTGCTATGAAAAAAAAGTGATGTGTAAGAACCAAGCTATGCTTTATACTCTTATTTTTTACTTGATTTACTTTTGCCATTCTTTTGCCAGAAGAACATGAAGAAGAGAGATAGATGAATAAGAGAGAAGAAAAGAAGGATGAAGAGGGAGGTTTGCCCAGAAGAAAAATGAGAAGGTCAGATTTCCAGTCTGACTATGGCTTGAGAGCAGAACAGGTCCAAGACTTTGCCCAGACTCCACCGAGATGCAGCGTTATTTTAGATGGAGCTGGCGAAGCATTCTGAGATTTGGATCCTGGAACTTGGTGAAATTCCATGATTGCCCAAAAAAGACATTCTCTGGGGCCTCTCTTGGGTCGATGTTCTCGCCGAGCTCCTGATGTGCCCTTCACTACTGGACGCTTTTTGAAGTTGACAGCCCTGTCCTGGAAAGACACCTAACCAAGACCAAATGGGGGGTACTCTGGCCACCATCTTGAAATGCTCAGACAACTGTGTATTGAATGCTTTTTCTGTCAACTCTAACATGGCCAATCCCCCACCTGGGAAATACCTACATAGCACTCTAGGTCATTCCTTCTGCCTAATAATTGCAACCTGGTTGCTTCCGTGTTTGACTCACAGCCATATTCCTCCATGTGGAAGTGAGTGTGTGTGCACGAGAGTATGAGTGGGGTGTGTGTGTGGGCCTGTGGGCGCAAGGGTGTGTGTTTAAATATAATCGCACCATAATTTATTCAGCTATATGGAGTAGTAGACTAGAAAGAGAAACTGGCATTTGCTTTAACTACCTGCTTGTAAGCGCTTCCTCTGTAACTCAGGCGTAACTGTTATACATTAAAAGAAATTAAAGCATTTCCAAGGTTCCATGTACTCAATTAACTGTCATTAGGCAGCTGCCCTAAAAGGAACCAAGGGGTGGTTGAGAAGGCCTTTGACCTAATTTAGAGGGTCAGGGTAGGACCACAGGGTTCTCCAGTGCCAAGCAGCTGTTAGGCATGTAGCGGATGTCTAATCAATATTTGATCAATGAATGCTGTTGCTTAATCATCTCTCTGATGAAATTTCAGTTCTGTTCACTAGGCCAGACTTCTTGCTGCTAAGCTTAGAGCCCTCTGTGGCCCTCTCCCAGTACGTCGAATTTAAAAGGTAGGAGAGCACTCAGAAGCGTTCATGTTTAAAAAAAGGAGAAAGAGAAGAAGGAGGAAGAGGAGAAGCTTCCATGTTTCCTTAAGAAGCAGAGCCTGATATGGGGATTCATGGGCAGGCGGATTTATGGAGGGGGGACCCTCAAGAGAAATGCATAAGGGAATGAAGGAAATGACATAGGACAGGGGAAGGAGCTAAGCAAAGAGGGAGTCTTAACTGGAATCTAGTTTCAACCTGATAGTGCAGGGAGCTCTGGAGCATAAGTAGCACATAGTTAGTCTCACCTTGAGCCTGGAGGACTGGTCTTTTGTTCCAAAGTGTCAGTCATTCATTGGCTGCTGGCTGTCCCTGGGGATGTGGGTAGGTAGGTAAAGGCTAATGTGCCCAAGCAACTCTGGTCAAAGTGGCTCCTGTGGGCTGAGGGCAGTTCTCCAGAGAAAGATGCGGCAATGCACCCTTAGCAGCAACATCACATCCGTTAGGGGACAGGTACACTGGCCCAGTAAAAGGGATCTGGGCAAAGAACAGCAACATCTACTCCACATATGTTCCCCTGGCTCTAAACTGGGATACCCATGTCATTCCAGTATACTGGTTTACTTGGATGAGCTGAACAAGAAGGGCAAGGTGGGGGAGTTGCTGGGAGAAATTGTACATGAAGGATTGGTAAGATATTTTTATGGACCTGAGTCCATCTAACCCAGCCAAGTGCTCCAGGGCAGGACTGAGGGAGGTTGGGTCTTCCCTCCTCCACTGAATATCCCTGCAGTATCCCTACAAAGCTTTGTACTAGCTCTCTAGGAACCCAGGCAGCTTATGTCAGAATCAGGGCTCCCAGCCACATTCCCCACCCTCCCACCCCCAACTGTATAGTTATTCAGTAAGTCAGGAAGATATGGGGGAGAGTCAAGAACTGCTCAAGTTCTGCTCTTAGCTCTGCATGTGACTCGATGTGGGTCCTGAGAAAATTTTCTCCCTGTCTCACACCCTATTT